GGGGAGGAGTTATTCTAAATTATAACGATTGATACATAGGAATATATGATTAGTCAATGAATTCAATGTTATAGCTTATATCAGTACTTCAATAGTCTAGGAATCACTGTATGACAATATACTAGAAAAGAAGAAAGTACTACTCGACTAATGGACTCGAGCTCAAATGACTGAGTACCCAGTCGTGACTGGGTCCCAGTCTTGGCTGGGTCCCAGTTGGACTGGGTACCCAGTCGGACTGGATATCCAGCCGGACTGGACACCCAGTCGGACTGGGTATCCGGTCCGACTGGGTATCCAGTCCGGCTGGGTGTCCAGTCCGACTGGGACCCAGTTCACCAGTCAGAACTGGGACTGGTGCATCTCTAGTTGTATTGCCATAAAGCGAGAAGTTGGGTCACTGTAAAACTGTGTATTGAACGAGAGCTCATGCATCGAACTGATCCATAATATTAAAACTTGTTTGGCTCTGATGCATTGTGCAAACAAAATCTGAATATATAGTACAAACAATATAAAACACGATAAGTCAAAGGAACTTCGTCAAAGCTGGACACTTATCGATTTTTTGCAAAATAAACATGTATTCTTTAGAAGTTTCAGATACATGTGTTGACTATTCATTTGATCAAACAAATCTATTATTCAAGTCTGACTTTCAATTTAATCTTGACCATCTATGCGATTGATCAGAGTCTAGCTCATAGCTGCTGTCTCTCATAGTTTGAATAAAAAATTCTGTCATTGATATTTACTAGTATACTATTGTCGTTACAATTGCCGAAGTCGATAGTGACAAATATCAGCTGGATATACTGACAAAAATAGGAGTGTCATCTTTTTAATTTAATTTTGTGTCACGAGACAAAAAAATTACATTCGTTCGTTCTTATTTAAGGACAATTCCAACCTTTTGTTTTTATTTTGATAACCAACGTTGAAATTTTCATTTGATCCAGCAACAAATGGTGATTACTTATTTTTTTTTAATGTTTGTAATACGATCAAAATTTAACAATTTTTCATTAAATATTATGACAATATTTAAAATATCTATGCACTGAAAGATGCTGTTAGGAGTCCAACTGTTTGCATTTAACTTTTTTCTGAAACAAACAGGAGTTTAAATCTTTCAAGTTTTTTTTAAAATTTCAAAACCAAAGAGAAGTTCTAACTTTGGTTTATAGGAAAAGAAAAGTTTTGTTTCTAATTCAAATAAACGTTGAAAGAACCTTCTCACACATATGGGCCACACAGTGAACGACATTTTGAAATGCAGAAAAGACCACGCTTACGGTTCATTCACTAAAAATATCTTTGTTTCATCTTATTTGCAGAACAAGATTCAAGAGGCGCAATATGAGATGCATCATAGATTCAGGCAACTCTTCGTATCGCAGGGTCTTCCCACTTTACAAAGGAGTAAGTATTAATTTATTTCAAAGATATCTTGTTTGAATCAAAACACTCTTTGACTCGTTCTGAGCTCTGTTGTACAGAGACCGCTCCAAAGCTTCAAAATCAAAATGATGCATAACAAATTTTTCGAACAGAAAAATGAACGAAAATATCACTCTATGCCTAGTCCTTTGTTTATACCATACTGAAATTATAACATATTTCTTAATTCCTATTTGATCACTATGCGTCTATTATTCTGGCAGTCACATTATTTGACTAATGTGACGGCTGACAGCTAGCTCACGTGGTCGGTTTTAACCTGGCATGGCAAACGAGTGAACAATCCCTCATAAATCATTGCCGAGCATTAGCAGCTCTCCCGACACTAGAGTCTACCTCGTGGGCAATCAACATCACCGATGATGCCAACGTAAAATTATAAGCTTTCTACGAGTTTGAACGCATCACTTTCTTTGAGTCAGTCGCACACTTGTGATCGCAGCTTGAGAGAAGTTAACTTAGACCAACATCAAAATAAATCAGTTTTTTTCAAAATTGGTAAAGAAAAATTTTCTCATCGCTTGATACAAACGAATACAGTCATTCAGAACATTTAAGCATCAAATAACAATCTTTCTTGTTCAGTTCTTCACAGCAAAAGACAAAAGATGAACCCACCTGTGTCGAGTAACAAGGAGTCATCCTGAACCTTTGAGAGTTCTATATTTGGATAGCCTTTTCTGAATGGCATAATCTACGTCTATTTCGAACCTTATTCTGGCCTTCAAAAAATGGTTTCACCCAGAGAAAAAAGTACCCACTTATTGTACACTCAAAAAAAAGGTATTCTTGAAATCCTTTAAAGGGTTTCTAGTTTTGTTACTATCTACAACCCTTTAAAATTTTCCACGCGCGGGTTCCCAAGCATTCAGAAACTCTAAACTATTTATGTAAAATTTGCCACATAAACATAACTAGTAAATACTTTCTATTGCATTACGTAAAGTAAAACTGTATTAATAAGTAAAACTTTAAAAGTAACTATAAGTATACTTATAAGCAAAAAGTCCTTTTTACCGCCTCCCAGGTCGACGAATACGATGTTCATATACGCCTGTAAATGACCGTATAAGTTCCGTATTTTTTCATATACGACACGGAGATATATGATCGTAATATTGAAGCATGTAAATCGGTGTATTTTTCCATATACAGTCGCTTACGATCGTGCCTATTTGATCTGGGTTACACTGTCATAATACTTTTCAATATGAGACTCTACTTGTTCAATTGTCCGAGACTCGATTTGAACTTTTTAGTTTAAATTTCTCACTTCTTTCTATTTCTTCGAATTCAAAAATCATTACACGAACAACTTGATCAAACCTGATACAAGCATGTATGCATGAAACTGACTTATAAATTGTTCGAGATTGAGATTGCACAATTACAGCTTGAAAGTAGTTTCTGTGTGGAACACTTAATATTAATTTCCTACTGTAGGTATTTAAAGTAACTATTATGGCAAGTACCATAAGTGATTTCTCGAAATTGTTGAGTTTGATGTTTTCGCTACGAGAAAAGCATATTCTAGGAAAACTTGGCTAAGAATCAGAGGTGCAGAATCTGCCGTAAAATCGAAAAATTCCCCATATGCTGATTTTTTTTCAAAAAATTTCCTCAGCTAGAAAAATAAAAAATCAAGACTTCTTTCTGTAGAATACATATTTATCAGCACAGGACACCGAAATAGAGCTACTTAAAGTGAATAGCAGGTCATAAAAAACCTCATTCTATTGACTATCGATTAGCAGTGATAGGACAGGAAAGCAAGGTAGGGTGTAGGTGCGGCTGAATGTGGGTGTGGGTGTGTGGTGTGGGTGTGGAGTGAATGTGGGTGTTAGTATGGGGTATGGCTGTAGCTCGAAAACAGAAAAAACCACACCCACACACCCACACCCACACCTACACTCACACCCACACCATAAAGGAGTTGCGCTAAGAAGTCTTTTTCAAGCATTAAAATTGTCTACCTTATTCCACTTGTGATCACTATGATAATAAACTTTTTATTATGTTCTAATAAATTACTGCAGTGATCGTGGAGTGCCATCTTGTAGAAATTCTTGTAAAGGAAATATACTTTTAATAATGCCATTCTAAGTTGGGCAGGATCGGACCATCAAAAAGTGACCCGATTTCGGGGCCTGTTCTGCACTTTACTTAATTATCGGGTAAGAGAAAACCCAAATTTTATTTTATCGCATCACGATAAATTATAGTAGCACAATGTAAAGTGATAGGTCGATAGCTAATCGTTGAACAAAACTCCAACATGAGTCACAATCGCTTCATTCCATTCTTGAAATTTAATCTATTTGATAGCTTAAATCTACGAGAAAAGAAATGAACTGATAGAAAGTTTATCGATTCAACGGGTATCAAACGAACATCATTAAAATTAGTGAAATCAGACAAACCATATACACTTAGAAGAGAATACTTTTAGTAATACTATTTATCCTGATGCAGCATTTTTTTGATGGTAACGTTACAAAAAATGTCAAGAAATAATTTGCGATCAGAAAAATGCTTTCTACTTTTTTGTTGCATTTTGTGTTTTTTCGAAGTAGATGTTTGTTTTTTCTTCATTAGAAAATAGCAGGACTTCGTTCTCGTTGTTGCGTTCATATACAAGTTAACGAGTAGCACGTAGGTTGTCATTCAAAATTTATTGTATCCAGTTGATATCCTTGTTCAGTGGTACATTATTAATAAAAATATTTAAATACCTTTATCAAATTAATTTTTTCATTCTTTCTCATTATATTTTTATCTTAATCATGTAAAAAAGAATAGCATCGAAACCTATTTAAGCACACAATGATAAAAATGACTCACAAGGAGTGCGCGCGACTAATATTGTTCTTATCCTAACAAAAAAAATTGATAAATATATTCTAACATACTTTCCAATAACACATAGAGTGTGGGTGTGGATGTGGGTGTTATTCTTTTCTTAGTCTACAGCTACACCCAAACTCCATACCCACCCATCCACACCCATACCCACACACATCCACACCCACACCACACCCACACCCATTTTCATTGCTATAATAAGAAAAACTTCCATTTTCTACGATATACAAGCTCAGAAGTACGTTGGTGCTTTCTATATATCGGATTGGTTTTTTCTATTTCATTGGCTTTCAATCGAATCAAATAACATTTTCTTATGCTTGATAAAAATTGCAATAATGGCAATAATTGAGTTTTACAAGGAAGCACTGTTCTCATATTCTTTTTGAAATATTTAAACCTTAAGTACTCGTTAAGTCCCAAATTTCTAACAACTGCCTCACTCGTATATGAGTGAAGAGCGCGTCTATTGTACCGTTTGAGAAAAAAAAAGCTATTAGCGCAATCCCTGCGGGATTAAAAATGTGAAACACGATGGAGCTTTTTATATTATGAATAAAGGAATTTGGATTTTCTCTGTCACGGTCTGTGATGGTCTTTGGAGCCCCTCGATCACGGTCTATGACGGGTACTGGATTTCTCTGTCACGGTCTGTGCCAGGTATTGGATTTCTCTGTCACGGTCTGTGATGGTCTTTGGAGCCCCTCTGTCACGGTCTGTGATGCGTACTAGGTTTCTCTGTCACGGTCTGTGATGGGTATTAGATTTCTCTGTCACGATCTGTGGGGGGGGGGGGGGGAGTGGGTCCAAAATTTCTACCCTATACACTTCAACACTCCTTTCAGATCGTGTTTCACAAAATCGAAAAAAAATAAATTTAACAATAAAAGAAAGTTAACTGTCGTATTTAACAGAGCTATGTTGAATATGTATAAAAATAATATTTTCCCAATACTTCCCTGTACTGTGATGTGGAGATGCACGATATTGCAATCAATTTCTATATGCTGCATCCATTTTTTCAATAAACTTAGTGTATAAATTATTTCCATAAATACTTTGCTAGTAAAATTATTTTACGTGTCAAAATTTTTTTCCTTAGCAGCACTTCACTTGATACTCAATGAAGTTTATTTAAATAAAACTTGTGTAAATGAAATTTCGATGATTTTAATGTCACTACACTTTCTTAGTAAAACTACATTTTTTCTTGAACAGAGAAAGATTTTTGTCCGATTTTTTTTTGAAATAGTACTTAACTCTTTGAGCTGAAAAGTGGATCAAATTTTTGTGGCAAATGATTTAGTTTCCGTTGAGTTTTAGTAAGAACAAAATTCAAAGATATCACTCTACATTTTGAGTAAACAGCATTTTTTTTTACACTTCGTATATAATTTTGACACTGTTCCTACAATTTCTCGTAAACTAAAAGACATGGAAACTTAATTTTTTCAGAAGTGAATGATCATTTCTAGACCAATAAAACAAAAAAAATTATCAAAATCCATTGAGTACAATTTGACTTATAGGAATCTTTCTTTTCGAAACCCGACGGTACAATTGACGTGCTCTTCACTCATATATTCAATTCAAAAATTGAGGCTAACATCTGAGAACCTTCCCTCCTAAGATTCTAATGCAATGATTTGAAACTCATTCTCACCAGAACCTAGCACAGTTTTGCAGAACTCCTTCTAACTATCCACTTCAGAACTACGATTTCAAAATTACACATAAAACTCAATTGTAGAAGGTATCACATTCCAAAGATGTATTTGAATCTTCTCAGGATTTTTTTAGTTTAGGAGTTTCATATAGTTCATTATTTTATTTCATAAGATTCTAAATTTTCGCAATTCCGAATAAAATCCTCAGATCTCTATATTTTTCTATCGAACGCTTTCATTCCAAAAGTATTGCCCTTTCTCGGAGTACATCCTTGCAGCAATCTCCAAGTATAGTTTTTAGGGTCAACCAGAACTTCGCAAAAAATAACTGTGGCTCAGATGTAAGAATCGTTACGAAATCCTTTTTTCTCATAGGAAACTAGGAAAAGATTTTTGAATTTTTCTCTACGAAAAGAACATTGTCGAAAGTTTTACCTAATTCACTTCAAAGAAGACGAATGTCTCCGTCATAGCTCTTTTCCTCTGCGTCAGAGAGAGGGAGATCTCTTCGATAACGACGATGTCTTTTCTTTTTCGTTCATTGTAGTAATTCCCAATATTCCAGTCGGTGCTCGATGGGAACAGAATGGTACGACTGTTGCTGGAGGCTGTAAAGAAGGCAGTGCGACCAATCAACTCAACAATCCTCGAGGTCTCTTCGTTGATGATGATCAAATGGTGGTCATCGCTGACGGGTACAATCATCGTATCATCCAATGGAAGATGGATGATAAAAATGGACAAGTGATAGCTGGTGGCAATGGTCAAGGAAATCGATTGGATCAATTGAAATATCTAACCGATGTGCTGATCGACAAAGAGACGGATAGTCTCATTATTTGTAATTGGGGGAATGGACGAGTGATACGATGGTCTCGTCGTAGTGGCACAACTCAAGGAGAAATCCTCATCAACAACATCAAGTGTTGCGGATTAGCTATGGATGATCAGAGATATCTCTACGTCTCTGACACCAACAAAAATGAAGTAAGACAATATCGAATAGGAGACAAGAATGAAACTATTGTGGCTGGTGGCAATGGCAAAGGTGCTGGTCTCAATCAACTCAACTGGCCGACCTACATCTTTGTCGATCAACAACAGACTGTGTACGTGTCAGACGAGTACAATCATCGTGTAATGAAATGGAATAAAGGTGCAAAAGAAGGCATTATCGCCGCCGCCGGTCAAGGCAGAGGGAATGCTCTGACACAGTTGTCGTATCCTCAAGGACTGTTCGTCGATACATTGGGTACCATCTATGTGGCAGACTCGTCGAATCAGCGAGTGATGCGTTGGCCTAAAGGAGCGAAACAGGGCACTGTCATTGTAGGTGGAAATGGTGAGGGAGAGGGAGCAAATCAGTTCATGGGTCCCTATGGTTTGTCCTTCGATCGACATGGCAATCTCTATGTCGCCGATCTGGGGAATAGTCGTGTTCAACGCTTTTCAATCAAATAGACTCAAAACGATGGATTTTTTTTTCTATTCTTTCTCTTGAATAAATCACGTTGGATTTGATGAAATGAATGTCTATTCTATTCGCGCGCGCGCGATCAGGAACCATCCTGGTGGAGCCGTAGCGAGCGTAACGCTCATGCACGCACGAGACAAACTCAAATCATTCATATCCCTCCCACTCGAGAAATATGTCAATGAATATGGGTAAGCCTGGTCGTGTGCCACGAACACCAAGACGATTCCTGGCCGGGCTTTTAGGGACTACCCGGAAGTCCTTCATAAAAGACGAAACCCTAACCCTCAACGGACAGAACTCAGCCTCCTCAATCTGCCTCTCACTTATTCTCATCTCAAAAAAAGAAAAAAAAATACTCACCATGTTTGACGTTGAATGATGACGTTGTTGATGATGATGACCCGATGATATTGAGTACTAAAAAGAAAAGAAAAAAAATTTAACTAATGCTATGTGATGGAAAAGAACGAGATAACTTACTCCACCTGTTATCTTTTTCTTCACTGTCCAATGCCTAAAATGGAAAAAAAACAATACATAAAAAAGATCATAGGAGAACTTACCACCCTCCATATGATCCAAAAGAATAAGTAAAAAGAAAAAAAAAAGAAAAAACTGATACCTACATTTTCTTTTATTGTTCGATATTGAATTGAATAAATTGGTATCGTCGAAGCCAACCTAAAATATAAAACAAAATAATTATTATTTGACTCAGGGTGTGGGTGTGGGTGTGGGTGTGGGTGTGGGTGTGGGTGTGGGTGTGGC